TGCCAAATTTGATTTGCTAAAATTTTATAGAAGACATTATGAAGGATATTGGCCTGTAATTTTCTTGGACTGTTTTTGTCTAATCATTTGGGCCTGAAAACTTCTTTCTAGGAAGGTTTATGACTAGGAATTCTATTTCTCCAATAGACTCAGGGCCACTAATAGTTATGTTTCCCCTTGGGTGAGTTTTGGCCGTTTGTGCTTTTCAAGGAATTGGTCCATTTTATCAACTTTACATGCATAGAGTTGTTTGTAGTACTTCCTTATTATCCTCTTACCACCTGTGGCGTCTGTAGTGATATATCCTCTGTGATTCCTGATATTAGTAATTTACCTTTTTTCTTCTGTCAGTCATTCCACAAGTTACCGATCTCAATCTTTTGAAAGATTCAGCTTTTGAATTCATTTATCATGTTTTACTGTTTTCAATTTCATTGATTTTTGTTGTCTTTATTATTTCCTTCCTTCTGCTTGCTTTGGGCTTATTTTGCTCTTTTTTACTTTAATGTGGAAGCTCAGACGCCATTCTGATTTCCCTTTTAGCACTGCTTTACGTGGATCTCACACATTTTCAGACAGGAAGAGTTTGGTGGGCTGCTGGGGAATGTCTGTGGCACAGGAGATGGATGTCCTGTCAGATGGAAATGGGGGAGAAAACTGCTCCTCTGGAGTCTGCACTCCTGCGAGTCTTGATGGTGGTATCTGCAGGCTGCCACTGTGCCTCAGTCTCCCCACGTGGCATCTACCATTCACCCACACGACCTCAAGCACATCCTGTCTCACCCTAGGCCAGACTGCTTGCTGAGCTCTACCCTTGCTGACTGATTGGGTGTCTCCACATGGCTGGCCGTCTGGGATGTACCTCCGTATCTCTGAAAAGGAAGCTATAATCTATATACAGTTTACCATTTTAAATGAACAGCTCTCCATTTCTGACACACAGCTGTTTACTCGCACAAGCGAGGAATAGAGAACATTTCCATCTACCCCCCAAACCACCCCTATGTCCCTTTGCAGTCAACCCCCTCCCTCATCCCCAGGCAACCACTGATCTTTTGTCCCCATAGTTTTGCCTTTTCTGGAATGTCATGTAAGTGGAATCACAGGGTATGTAGCCTTTTGTGTTTGTATGTAGCCTTTCACTTAGCATAATGCCTTTGAGATGCAGCCGTAGTGTTGCAAGGGTAAGCTGTTTGTTCCTCTTAAATGCTGAGTAGTATTCCATTGTAGGGATGTCCCACAGTTTGTCTTCTACTCACCAGTTAATGGACATTTGGGTTGTGTCCTGTTTTTGGCTATTATAACTAACTGCTACGAACATTTGTGTCCCGGTTTTTTCCTTCTAGAAGTTATACAGTTTTAGCTCTTATATTTCAGTCTATGTTTAATTTTTGTATATAGTATTAAGCACAGGACAGGCTCACATTTGTGCTTGTGGAAGTCCAATTATTCCAGCACCATTTGTTGAAAAGACAGTTCTTCCTCCATTGAATTACAGTGGCATCTTCGTCAAAAATCAAATAACCTTGAATGGGTGGGCCTACTTCTGGACTCTCTAGTCTGTTCCACTTATTTGTATGTTTATAGTTATGCCAATATCACTCAGTATTAATTATTATAGCTTTACAGTATGTCTTGATATCAGATAGTGTGAGTCTTCCAACTTTGTTCTCCTTAAAAAAAAAAAAAAAGTTTGACTATTCTCTGCCCTTTGCTTTTTCATATAAACTGAAGGTTAGTGCACACAAAAATTTCTGCTTGGATTTCACTGGGGTTGTGTGGAATCTACTTACCTCTTTTTCTCAGCCATGTTTTACAGTTTTCAATGAATAAATCACACACGTATATATATGTGTGTGTGTGTGTGTGTGTATATACATATACATATATACATATACACATTTTGCAAGATCTACCCCATGATAACTAGCCTACAGATGGCCTCCAAGGATCCCCACCTCCAGGAGTTCACAGCTTGTGCTGTCCCCTTCCATGATCTACCAAAAGTGTTCTCTATGACCAGCCGCATCCAGCAGACATGATGGTATTTGAGAACACATTACAAGCCCACCCTGGGCTCCCGCTCTCTCAGATCGCTTGCTCTGGGAGAGGCAAGGTGACATGCTGAAAGCAGCCCTAAGGAGAGGTCCACAGGGTGAGGAACTGAGGCTGCCAGCACCCAGCTGAGTCTATTTTTTTTCTAAGATTTTTTTGATGTGGACCGTTTTCAAGGTATTTATTGAATTTGTTACAGTATTAATTGTTTTATCTTTTGGTTTTTTGGCTGAGAGGCATGTGGGACGTTGGCTCCCCGACCAGGGATTGAACCCGCACCCCCTGCATTGGAAGGCGAAGTCTTAACCGCTGGACCACCAGGAAAGTCCCCCCAGCTGAGTCTTGAGATGATTGCACCCTCACAAGAGATCCTGAGGCAGCCAGCTCACGGCTCTCAGACACTGGGAGATAACAAGGGTTTGTTGTTTTAGGCAGTTAGTCTGGAGGTGACTAGTTACACAGCCACAGATAATACAACCAGTAAGTGTTCTGTGGTTTTTGTAGCACTGTAAGTATTTCCATTTTCAACAGCTCGTTACTGGTACATAGAAATATATTCCATTTCTGTATATTGGCCTTGAATCCTGTGACCTCACTAAACTCATTCATTAGTTCTAATAACTTCTCTGTAGGTTCTTTGGGATTTGCTAAGTAAACAATAATGTTTTCTACGAATAGAGTTTTAGTTCTTGCACCTCCATCTTGATGTCTTTTACTTATGGATTTGCCATATTGCCTGACCAGGGCATCCCAAACGTATTAAGGAAAAGCAGTAAGAGCAGACATCCTTGCCTTCTTTTCCAGCCTTGGGGGAAAGTATTCAGTTTTTCACCATTAAGTATAATGTTAGCAGTAGGGTTTTTTGGGTACAAGCTTTTTATGCGATTGATGAATTTCCCTTCCTAGTTTGCTGAGCTTTTAAAAAAATTTTATGTATTTATTTATTTTTGGCTGCGTTGGGTCTTCGTTGCTGCACACAGGCTTTCTCTAGTTGTGGCGAGTGAGGGCTATCCTTCGTTGCGCTGCGTGGGCTTCTCATTGTGGTGGCTTCTCTTGTTGCGGAGCACGGGCTCTAGGCGCGCGGGCTTCAGTAGTTGTGGCTTGTGGGCTCTAGAGCTCAGGCTCAGCAGTTGTGGTGCATGGGTTTAGTTGCTCCGCAGCATGTGGGATCTTCCCAGACCAGGGACGGAACCCGTGTCCCCTGCACTGGCAGGTGGATTCTTAACCACTGCGCCACTCAGGGAAGTCCCTTGCTGAGTTTTTATCATGAAATGCATATTGAATCTTGTCAAATGCTTCTTCTGCCTCTGTTAAGATCGTGTGGCTTTTCTTCCCCGTTCTGTTGATGTGGTGAGTTACACTAGGTCTTGAGTGTTGACCAGACTTCCACCTACAGGGCCCCTTCCAGTCCCAGGCCTCATGCTGTCTCTGATCGGAAGTCAGTCTCATTCTTATCCTATTCTTCCGTCTGGCTGCTTTTAAGATTTTCTCTTCACCACTTGTTTTCAGCAATTTGATTGTGATGTGCATTGGTTATCATTTTTATTTTTGTGCTTTATCTTCCTTGGGAATCATTGAAATTCTTGGATCTGTGGGTTTACAGCTTTCAAAGAAAAAAAAAAGCTGGGGCAAATTTCAACCAGTATTTCTAAAATTCTCCTTCCTCCTTTACTCTGGAACTTAAATTGTGTGTCAGACCACGTGACATTATCCCCGTAAGGCTCTGCTCACTTTTTTCAGTCTTTTTTTCCTCTCTGTGATCACCAGGCATAGTTTCTTTTGCTAGTCTAGTGTTCAGTGATCTTTTCTTCTGCAGTTTCTAATCTGCTGTTTAATCCCCTCCAGTGACTTATAAAAACAAGCTTTAAACTTTAGAAAGTTAGATTTACAGAAAAGCTAGACAGTACAGAGTTCCCATATATCCCACGCCCCATTTCCCTATTATTAACACCCTGCATTAGTGCATATGCCACAAGTAATGAATCAATATATTGATAGTTTATTTTTAACCAAAGTCCCCATTTTGTTCAGATTTCCTTAGTTTTTACCTGATAGGTCTTTCTATTCCAGGACAATCATCTGAGACATTCCATTCCATGCACGTCTCCTTACGTCATTCTCGACAGTCTCAGACTTTCCTGGTTCCTGACGCCCCTGACAGCTCTGAGGACGGGGCTGCTTCTGTGTAGAATGTTGCTCAACTTGGATTCGTCTGATGTTTTCCCCTCATGAGGAGTTGGGGTTATGTAAGTTTTTGGAGAGGAAGACCACAGAGGTGGCTTGCACTGCCCATCACAGCACGGCAGGGCACACCCGTCAACGTGACTCATCACTGCTGGTGGAGGCCTGTCTGTCAGGCGTCTCCACTGTACAGTCTCTGCCTCCACCCCCTCCTGTACTCCTCAGAAGGAAGTCTGTGTGCAGCCAACACTGAAGGGTGGGAATTACGTGTCACCTCTTTGAAGGGAGTCAACAGAAATAATGTGGAATTCTTCTGCATGGGACACTTGTTCCAGAGATATTCTGTTCAATTTCCTTCCTTTTTATATCTTCCATTTCTGTCTTAACGTTTTCTCTCTACTTTGAGCAAACAGAGCATCTTAGTAACACCTTTAATGTCCTTGCTCGCCACTTCCATCACGCCTGGATCTGTTACCATGACTCTTCCCTTCTTTGTTACAGGTCACATTCTCATGCCAAGTGGATCATCTATTAGTTTTGACTAGATCCTGGACACGAAGAATTTTACTACATTGTGTCTGAGTTTAGTTGTCTTCCTTTCAAGAGTACTGCACCCTCAGTTCTGCAGGAAAGGATCAGCCTGATCCTTTTTTTTTTTTGCGGTACGCGGGCCTCTCACTGCTGTGGCCTCTCCCGTTGCGGAGCACAGGCTCCGGACGTGCAGGCTCAGCGGCCATGGCTCACGGGCCCAGCCGCTCTGCGGCATATGGGATCTTCCCGGACCGGGGCACGAACCCGTGTCCCCTGCATCGGCAGGCGGACTCTCAACCACTGCGCCACCAGGGAAGCCCTGATCCTTTTAAGGCTTGTTTTTAAGCTCGTTCACACTGCATTTGGGTAGCCTTTTCTCTGGGGCTAATCCAGCCCCACTTTCAAGGCGTGGCTGTTCAGAGGTCCGTGAAAGGCTCTGTATGTTAGAGCGGCCTCTCCGCTCTGGCTGTGAGGAATCAGATGACTCGGCAGCTCTAGGTGAGCCTGGTGATCGCTCACCATGCGGCTCCTCAGCGGCTGTTCTTTCCCTGGAAGTTCTGGGGTGGCTTCCCAGGCTCCCCACACGGATGCGCAAAGCAGCACTCGACCAAGATCCTCAGGGGCTCACGTGCAGCTCCTCCTCTCTGGTACCAGGCCTTGCAAATTCTGGCTGTCTCAGTTTCTCCAAAGGCCGGGCTCTCAGAGTCTGAACACTGCTTCCAGATAGAAAGCCTAGGCACCTGGAGGGCTCACCTGTCCTTCCTGTTTAACAATCCTGAACACTGCTGGTGGGTTGAGTCCATGTTGAATGTGTCCTGCCAGCCTGACCTTAAGGTGTGTTAGAAGTTTGAGAGGGCCTTCTGGTGAGTCCATCGCAGAGCCCGATGCCTCCTCCTCCTCTGCTGACCACGTGCAATTCTTGCAGGAAGTCCTGGCTTACCCTTGGATATAACGGAAACCAGTGACGGGAAATACGGCAGGACCAGGGAGAAGCTGTTGCCCAGCTGCTGGCTGGTGAGCAATGCCCTTGCCCCTGCGATGCAGTTCTTAGTAAATATCAAGTCTTACTGTAAATTCAGAGTCTGTGGCCCTATTTCCTACACAACTGTGAACAACCTGAAACGTATACAAAGTTTTGCATGTAAGTACATTTTTACAGAGGGAGGATCTCTGTCTTTGAATATTTTCTCAAAGCGCCCACAACTCAACAGGATTAACATCCACGGTAATTCCATGAGAGGCCTACCGGTACTTCTCAAGTATATTCCCAGAAAAAAAGGCCCGTTTTAGTCCCCCAGCCAAAGAGACTGGTGTGTGTGATGTGCTCCGGGAGCAGTGGGCGTGTAGCTGGCACCCACGTGCAGTGTGAGCACTAGAGCCGCGTGGACGCAGCAGCAGAGAAACGCAGCCTGGCGGGAGGACACGGGAGGCACAAGGCGGGGTGCAGAGGGGAGCTCGCTTTCGGTCCCCTCCCCGGCCTTTGTCTTGTCCTCAACTGAGGATAGGACCATCTGCACTGTCCTCATGTCATTTTCTTATTTCTGCTCAGGGTCGCAGCACAGGCCCCATGACCAAAGCATCCCCGCTCATGTCCAGCCGCTGGCCCCATGCTCGGGTCTCCAGGCCCAGCTGAACATCTGCACACGGGTGACTGCTGACTCAGTAACTGCCGGCGCCCTCCCAGTGGGAGGAGACTGTGGGGCAGCTGCCAGCGCCTCCAAGATCGGGAAACATTCAGGGAGCCGGCCTCCCTCCTTCCACAGCCTGCAAAGCCAGCCCCTGCGAGCCCTGCAGATCTCAAGGAAACCCTGCAGCCAAAGGTGCAGGCTCTGGGGTCTTCACCCGGCTCCCGTGATATCTGATGGGAGCTGACCACTCATTCCAGGGTGGGTCCTAAGGACCCTGCTGACCACTCCCTGGTCCTTTAATAAAGAATTCTGAGCACACACGGCCCAGTGGAGCCAGGCAGGCTCAGGCTCAGGTGTGCTGTGCCCATCTACCCTCCCTCCAGCCCCTTCTGAGACCCCTGTGCCCCTCCTCACCCCCCCCGCCCACCCCAGGACCGTGGAGGGAGGAAAGAGACAGGAGGCCACACACATAGCCTGCCGTTTATAGATCTCTGCCCGTCTCGTCCATCCATCCATCCATCTATACATTTACCTATATATCTCTACGGAAGGGGAAGGGGGGGGACTCTAGTGTAAAAATACAAACTACAGTTCTATGAGCACCAAGTACTGGTTAGTCCGAGTGTGGCTGGGGTCAAGCTAAGAAAGCAGGTAGGGACTTCCCTGGTGATGCAGTGGTTAAGAATCCGCCTGCCAATGCAGGGGACACAGATTCGAGCCCTGGTCCGGGAAGATCCCACATGCCGCGGAGCAACTAAACCCGTGCACCACAACTACTGAGCCTGCGCTCTAGAGCCCGCGAGCCACAACTACTGAGCCCATGTGCCTAGAGCCTATGCTCCCTAACAAGAGAAGCCACGACAATGAGAAGCCCGTGCACCGCAACAGAGTAGCCCCCGCTCGCCACAACTAGAGAAAGCCCGCACACAGCAACGAAGACCCAAGGCAGCCAAAAATAAATAAATATATTTATTTAAAAAAAAAAGAAAAGAAAAAGAAAGCAAGCAGGTGGGGTGGAGCCGGAGCCCGGACCCCACAGGTGGAGGCCTCGCGTTGCCCTCTACCCGGGAGACGCGGAGCATGGCGAGGGCAGGCGTGAGCCAGAGCTGGACGCCTCTGGCTCCAGAGGTGAGCGAGAGACCGTGGACTTCGGGTCCTGCTCAGCAGTCCCCCAGCTCTTTGTCTGTTTCCTGATGTCTCTGGGACTCAGTTCCCGTGTCTCTAAAAGGCCGGCTGTCACCTCCACGTGGGGCTGTGGAAGGAGGGGAACCGATACCCGAGGGGCTGGGCCTCCCGCTGCGCAGAGGGACTGGATAGGGACAGCCGTGTCCTGTTTGGCAGGTGCAGGGGGCACCGGGAGCCTCCAGGCCCCCAGCGCCCCTCACAGCCTGCACCAGGTGTGCCTCGGGCCTTTCGGGGCCACTGCCCATCCCCGAGGGCGGGGCGGAGGGCCTGCTGGGGCCCACCTGGCTCCCAGGCCAGGTGGAGGAGCAGCCCTACCTGTCGTGGGAGCCCCGAAAACGGTCCTTGGCCAGCTCGGAGTGGCCAGGTGTGACCAGGACCCTCCTCGAAGGGTCGGTCTCACAGGGAGCTGGCGACCTGACTGCAGCGACTGCTCTCCAGCCAGCCCCTCCAGTGTGACCCTCTGACCCTCTGACTGCCCGTGCTCACATGGGCCACCCTAGGCGAAAGAGGCCCTCGCTCTTAGGGCCTCGAGGTGCCTGCAGCCTAAAAGCAGAGCCTCCTTCCCCTGCGCGCTCCCTCCCCCCGTCCCTGTCCCGTGGGAGTGGGGTCAGGAGAGCCTCCTTCCCCTGCGCGCTCCCTCCCCCCGTCCCTGTCCCGTGGGAGTCGGGTCAGGAGAGCCGCTGCATTCGCCAGCTTCCCTCCCGAGGGCGGTGGGGCCTCGGGTCCTGCAGGGCAGCCCCGGCCTATTCAGCAGTGGCCCCACACCAAGCGCATTGGTAACTGGCAGGGGGTCTGGAAGGGGGGGAGCCAACACGACTCTCTGGGCAGCGACGTGCTGGCCGTCCGCTGGGCTGTGCAGAGGCCGCACAACACTGCCGGACTGGCCCCCCGGCCAGAGTTTCTGGGGCCGGAAGCCACCCCCCCACATTATCAGCCTTGAGGGTCAGCCACCCCACCACCGCCTTTCCCTGGTCCCCTGGGTCAAACGCAGGGAGAGTCCTCGGCAGAATGGGGAGAAAACTTCCAGCACAAGGGGGAAGGCACCGAGAGCACAGATGCCAGAACCTTCCAAGGTCTCTGGAAGCTGGACTTTGGGCTGCAAGTCTGCAGAAGTCTCCATGAGGACTTTTTGACAGAGGCCCGGGGCTTGTGTGTGCATCACTGAGGCCTTAGGCAGGAGGCTGTCTCCTTTTTCGGGGCTGGGCAGCTCTGCAGACCGTGCCCAACCCAGAAAAGGGCTCCGTTTCTGTCCTGCCTGGCAGAGCCAGCCCGCCCGCTGCGTCCTGCACCAAGCACACCCTGCTCGGCCTGTGGACAGACCAGGGGGGCTCAAATGCACAGGCTCCAGTCAGCACCCCTCTACCCCCGGGGAGGAAGTGCCAGCAGGGCCGGCGGGTGGCGCAGCCACTGTGAACGAGGCTGTCTCAGGCTTGCTGGTTCCCGCTTTCCTGCTCCAAGGCCTTGCCCAGAGCACAGGCAGTGGGACTTGGAGAACTTGCTGGTGCGGCTTCGCCCGCTGCCTCACGATCTTTAAGCAGAAGCAGTGAGCAGGTCAAAAGGTGGGGCAATCACCCCAGTAGGACTAAGCTCGGAACATCCCAAAAGATCTCTGATGCCCCTCCCCAAACCGGGTAAGAGTGCTGCCCGGGAGTTAAGGGAAAGGGGAAAGAGGAAGAAGGAAGGATGACAGAAACATGGGGTCATTTCCTCGGGTCTGCAAAGTTCAAGGCCTGCAACGAAGGGATGGTGGTAACAGGACAAGCTTTAGGAAAGCACGGCCCCCTCTCTGGGAATGCTGCCCACCATCACAGAGACAAGCAGTGGGAATGCAGAGTGCCACATGGATGTGCTACTTGGACCAACACGAAGTGTCCCCCACAAGGACGCGGCAGGATTTCTAGTCTCTTTACTCCCTCTCCCCCTCTTGAGGCAGAGCTTCAGCAGACAACCCAGGAACGAGGACCCAGCCTCCAGTTCTGGGCTCACTTCAGCCCTGACTGCTTCCTTCCTAAGGGCTTAAGACTATGAAAGACAAGTACTTAGGAGAGTCTGAGAAAGCCAGCGTCTGGACCCTCAGGAGAGCAAGCATGTCTGAAGGCGCCCAGAGGCTCCGCAGCCCAGGGCGGCCTAGGCCACCCATCTGCCGGCCCTGAGCTATGGCTCCGGCCTCCCCCGGACACGACGTCACAGCCCGGACGTGAACGGCAGATTCTCGGCCACAACTCCAGACAGTCTTTGCTGTACCTCTGCAAGCCTGAATTGTCCGGTCTGCAGGGTCAGACCACGGAAACGAGCCTGCTGCCAGGCAACTGGAGGCAGGGACGCGAACGAAGACGTCCCGAGAGGAATGAAAAACAAAGTCGCTCTTGGGAAACCCGGCTCTGGTCTCCGGACACGGGCTCGAGACCCACTGGAACTTTATGACGTTTTGCTTTCTGTTTTCGCTCCTTTTCCTTTTCCACTAGAGTAACGCCCTCCAATTCCTGCGTCAAGCCCTGATTTCTTCCCAAAGGCTGCCGACCCCACCACCCCGGTAACTCATCTAAGAAGCTACGGGGGCCACCTGGGCACAACGCTCGCCAGCGAAACTGGGCGCTGCCCTAAGGCCAGACGCGCTTCCGCAGTTGTCCCGCACATAGTCGGCGCGAGACCGAGGAGGAGAGGCCCCTCCTGCCCAGCCCAGGGGAGCGCGCGGCAGGAGCGACGAGGGGCGGCCTCGGACGCTCTTTCCCGACGCCCTGCTGCCCGCCCCCAAAAGCCCCGGGCCGGCGCGCCCAGCCCCTCACCGGGCTCCAGCAGATAAGCGCGTCCGTGTCCGGGTCGCTCACGAGGGTCCACAGCTTGGTCAGGAAGGCCGGGACGTTGCTGGGCCCCGCCGCGCCCGGGCCCACGGGCAGATCCATAGCGGGCGAGGCGGGAGAAACGGAGGTAGCGATCGCGAGGAGGGGCTGAGGGCCGGGCTAGCGCCGCCGCCGCGCCTCCCGCTCGGGCCGCGCCGCCGCCGCTCGCTGCGCACACACGGCCCCGAACCCTAGCATGGCCGCCGCCATCTTGCGACGGGCGCGCTCCCGCCGGCGCCGCCCGCCCGCGTCCCCACGGCGCGCGCACGCCGGCCCCGCCCCACCCAGGGCTCGCCCTGCGCCCTCTGACCCTGAGGGCCCCGCCCCCAGGCCCACGCGGTCGTGTCGCTGCCGGAAGTGGCGGCGCGGGTCGGGGCTGGCCTGGAGCATGGCGGGCACGCGGGGCGTGGGGCGCGAGGCGGCGGCGGCGGGGTCGCTGCCGGGGAAGCGGCCGCCGGAGCCGGAGGAGGTGACCGCGGGCTGCGCGAGCGGGACGGGGAGGTGCATCTGGGCCGCACGTGGCGGCTCCTTGGCCGCCAGCCCCGGGGAGCCAGGCTGGGGAAAGCGGGGAGGAGGGTCGCCTGTCCTCTGCTGGTGGTGGCCTTGTGGGGGCGTCCTGGGCAGGGAGCACCCCCTGCGCGAGGGGTAGCCGGTGTGGGGCTGGGCTGTTCTGCGGTTGGAAGAACGTCTGGGCCGGAGAGAGCTAGGAAGGAGGGCTGGCATCCTGTGCGGCAGCCTCCCTAGCCCTTTGAATTGTGCTTCCTGCGTTAAAGGGATTTGAGCCTGCAGTAACCACTTGTCTGTTGATACGTTACTAATACGTCGCATACATTGTAAAAGAGGGTACGAGAATAGTAAGGCAGTGCCTGCTGCACTGGGTGCATCGTTTCAACTGGACTCATGGCCACTCCTGGTTTCCAGCTGGACCCCAGCTGGGTTGTGGGGTGTCATCAAATCTCGGTGGTAGAAAGCCGCCGAAGGCTTGTACAGTCGAGCCTCTCTGAGCCGGGACTCCACGTTGCTGGGTTGTCCGGCTGCCCGCTCACTTTGCGACAAGTCTTCCTGGCTCTGTACCCATCAGCAGCCATTTGTACTTGTGCCCAAATCATTTATGCCGTTTTCACTTGCTGTTTTAATTGTATGGCTTACTAAGTGTTGGAGTAGTTAGTGTGCGTCAGAGTCGTTTCTGTGGAAGCTGAGTTGAGTGCTGCCAAGTAATTGGTGAGTGCAGGCTGTCCAATTAGGTGAGAGACTTCTTAACAATTGAAAAGCAGCGAATTCTCCGTTCAGATAAATGCTTGCTAAAAGTCTGCAAGTTCTTGTTGCAGTTCTAAAAGGTCCACACCGTGCACTGCGTCCTGTAGACTTAGGGATCGGGGAGTGTCTGGTCAGCAGAGCTCTGCTTGGGGGAAGCTCTGGTCCTACCCCTTGAGGGGGTGAATGGAAACACTTGCTTTTAAGTAAAGCTTGTGTAGTTTTTATGTCTTTTCAACCAACCTT